CAGCTATTGCAGCAGGAACAGGACCAGCAGCTACAGCAGCAGTTATTGCAGCAACAGCTACTTCAGCAGCAGCAGGCACAATTACAGCAGCAGCAGCTATTGCAGCAGCAGCCAGCACAACAGTTATTGCAGCAACAGTTACAACAGCAGCAGCAGCAGCTATTGCAGCAGCAACAGGTACAGTTACAGCAGCAGCAGCAGCTATTGCAGCAGCAGCAGCCAGAACAACAGTTATTGGAGCAACAGTTACAACAGCAGCAGCAGCAGCTGTTGCAGCAGCAACTATTACAGCAGCAGGTACAGCTACAGCAGCAGCAACAGCTATTGCAGCAGCAGCAGCAGTTACAGCAGCTGCAGCCTGCTGCTCCAGTGGAGCTGGAGGAGGAGGAGGAGGTGGAGCTGGAGCTCATGCCAGTGGACCTGGGGCCAGAGCAGGAGCTGGAGCAGCAGCGGCAGCAGGAGCTGGAGCGGCAGCAGGAGTTGGAGCGGCAGGAGGAGCAGCGGCAGCTGCAACTTAAACTGCAGGAGCAGCTGAAGCAGCTGGAGCAGCAGCTGGAGCAGCAGCAGCAGCTGGAGCAGCAGGAGGTGCAGCTAGAGCTGACCCCTGTGGACCTGGGGGCGTCCACACAGGAGGTGCAGCTGGAGCTGACGCCAGTGCAGCCAGAGCTACAGCTGGAGCTGGTACCAGCCCCCGGGGGCGGTGGGGCGGCCATGCCAGGGACACCAGCGGCTGTGGTCGTGGCGCCCCCGGGCTACGTGGTGGTGCAGGAGCTGATGGTGCTGCCGGCTGTGGCCACGTCGGCCGTAGTGGCCATCCCGGGCCCAGCGGGCAGCGCAGCCCTGACCCCAGCGCGGCAGCGGCGGCGGCGGCGGCCACGGGACAGGCCCACCATCTGCGGCGAGTGCGGCAAGGGCTTCAGCCGCAGCACGGACTTGGTGCGCCACCAGGCCACGCACACGGGCGAGCGGCCGCACCGCTGCGGCGAGTGCGGCAAGGGCTTCTCCCAGCACTCGAACCTGGTGACGCACCAGCGCATCCACACGGGCGAGAAGCCCTACGCCTGCTCCTACTGCGCCAAGCGCTTCAGCGAGAGCTCGGCGCTGGTGCAGCACCAGCGCACGCACACCGGCGAGCGGCCCTACGCCTGCGGCGACTGTGGCAAGCGCTTCAGCGTCTCCTCCAACCTGCTGCGCCACCGGCGCACCCACTCTGGGGAGCGGCCCTACGTCTGCGAGGACTGCGGCGAGCGCTTCCGGCACAAGGTGCAGATCCGCCGCCACGAGCGGCAGCTGCACGGCGCAGGCCGCTCCCGGGGCCTGGGCCTGCTCCGCAGTGCGCGCCCCCCGGCCCCCGTGCCCCCGCGCCCCGCGCCGGCCACCGCGCCCGCTGACACAGCACCCTGAGGGAGCCCCCAGGACCCGGGGAGGGCGCAGATGGAGACGGTCCCGAGTTTTAACTCCGCGGAGCCACCCTCCCCCCGTCCACCGGACCCACCACACTGCGTGACCACATCGTGTAGTCTCTCGAAATCCTGGAATCTGGAATCGTGCTCGAAAGAGCCTGCCAGCTGCTTGCCCATTAGGCAAGAAGCACCGCAGAGCCATTGGTTACCATGGGCCCCGGCAACCACCAGCCGGTGGAGAGCCGATTGGGCGAAACCCCACTGGTTCGCAATGGGTTCCGGAGGCCTGGGGGACATTGGTACTGACCAGAAAATCCAGTCACTGAGAACGCGCCCTGTGGCGCTGGGATAATTGGTGGCACCAGATATGGGAGCGATTTTTAAACAGCCGGTCAAAAAGAGGTCGTGCTCTTTCTCAAGTTTACGAGAAAGGGTGGAGCCTCGTGCAAACTGACATAAGGATTAAAAAAAAAAACGAAAACGGGGAAGACAGAAACACGGAGTCAGCACTGTCTAGAAAAGTGACCAAGGTATTGTGTCAAACCTCAGCGGCATCTGCCTGGGAAACGTTTTTCTGGAAAGAAAGCTTATCGGGGTGGATGCCACTCTAAATAAACACTTGTGTTCGAAAACACGGGGCAGAACACCTGCTGGGTCAACAGGGGAAGGGCCAGGAGGGCCCACTCTGGGTCAAAGCTTCTAGAAGCTTGGAGGCCAGGCTGGACCTGCCATGTTCCCATACCCAGTGTCTCTTTCGTGTTCTACTGAGTAAAAACCTATGGCTGAAGCAGAGAGCATTCTGGGAGCGCTGTCCATGGTCTGAAGGAGCCTCCAAGCCTGCCCTGCCCTGACTAAAACCATCTCTAAATGTCTCTGACACTGACCAGGGGCTGAGGCTGTGCGGTTGGGGCTCAGGGATAGAATAGGGGTGAAAGGGGAACATTAGGAACAAGGACTGGGGCCCATCAGAGATGATCTTGGTTCCGAAGTCCTGGGGTGGGTGGGGGAGAGCAGCTGCCCTTGTCAATGTGATGCCTCCCATTGGACGAGATGAAGGCAGGGCAGGACAGCAGGGTGGTGCCTGCCCTCCCTGGCCCCAAGCAGTTCCTCCTCTGCTACCTGGCTTTCCACCTGTGGCTGCTCCAGACCTGCTCCACCCTCCCCTCTCTCCTCCATCTCCCTGTTGCTCCTAACGCCAGTTACATTTTACAAATGTGTTGGTGAGACTCAAACAAGGAAAAATAAAGAAAAATAACTCCA